TCAATTAGGTAAAAAGTTAGAGGGGGTGGAAGGGACTTTTGGATCACCCTGTATAAAAGACGGGTCAAATGCTCTCCGGCGTAAAAGACCGCTGTTGACGTCGGATCCGAGGTCAGTACGAAACAATCATAAATCTTTAAAATCCGCTGACGGATGATCCCCCAAGCCTGACTTTTCGCAAAAACTTTACTGTTGTCAACTAATGCCTTGACAACTGGCATTAAATTGGTAAAAATAACAGAATGTTCAAAGTTCTTGTAAACGTGTTCAATATCATCCGTCATCATCTCCCCTTCAAAGTAAGGTATATTTTCAATGCTCTCGCCGGCTTCGAACAGCCTACCGCGATGAATGACAGTCAAACCGAAGTCTTGCAGCAGGATCTTCGTTGGTTTATTTTGCTTGAGGGTAATCAGAGTATTCTGTAAATGTGCTTCGACTACGATTCCGTGACTCCAGAGCAAGGGTAACGTGATTGATAAAAGCAGGTCCGCATATGTATCCAGAAAGTCTGCCGCTCTTGAGTATGATAGTTTTTTATCGTTTCCTTTTATGCATTCAACGATCAACGGTTCTCCGGATATTGGAGAGGCGGTGATCAGCGCTGAACAGCGAATGATCATTTCGTCAGTCCCTGGCTGCTCTATATCGTCTCGCAGGATACAGGATATCCCTTCGTCTCTAATTCGTTGTGGGACGCTAGATTCTGATCTACTCTTGCTCTTGTCGACGAAGGCAATTCCAGATCTTTCAGCCACGCAAGCCCATCGAGATTCATCGTTCAGTAAGCGCGTCAACAATTTTGAGATGCAAGGGCCATTCATTGCTTCCTCGTGTGTGATAGTGCGAACGATTGAAGTTATCTGGACATCTAGCGTGGTTTTTATTGCAAGGCGTTCGCCGAGGACCCCTGGTGCTACTGTTAGTAAGGTGCGAGTCGAGCTTGTCGGCCGCGCAGAGATGGTAACTTCCGATAACAAAACTATCGTTCCGCCCTTAATCTCTTCCTCATAAATCTGAGGTATGATGTTGTGAAACTGAAATGGATGTATTACTGAGAATTGAAATTCACCTGCATCGAATCCACGGCGAAGAAGAGCTTTGAGAGCTGCACCGACCACAAACGGATAATGTCGCTGTAGAACGTCTTTGACGGGTTCTCCTGACTGTATAACATGGTCATTCTTTATTGCAACTAGTTTTAAGGAAACAGGTTGACCGGATTCTGATGAATAAGCTAACGAATCAGCGGGTGAAAATCCAAGTCTTGTCTTTCGGCACGGATGGGTAGGGTGGCCAGTGGCATCTAAAGAGTCCAACTCAACTGCTATATCACTTGGACCATACATCTCTTTCAAGATAGAAAATAAGGTCTTGCTTGCAGGAAATCGGCCACAAAGAAACTGACTACGCCTTTTGACCAGTGCACGAGATAGTGCGAGGTTTGCTGCTGAGTCCATAAGCTCGATCCTCAATTTTTCCCAATCAGTTTGTAAATCCGTTATGAAATCCGCATCGTACGCAACACTTTCCCTTGTGAGCGATTCTTGCAAGCATTCTTCGATCGATTCTTTGGAAGTTGGTAGCTCCTGTATCCACAGATGACATAATTCAGGTTCGATTTGCGAGAGGTATGCAAACATTCTTCGCTCAATGTCGGTCAAATCTATATTTCCGAGTGTTGGATACCTGGGCAACTGTTTGAAGGGATTTGGAGCATCGACGTATATGTCGTCCGTAACGACACCAGATAATCTCATCTTTAAAAGACACTTTCTTCGCCATGGCTCTTCCAGCAAGGCTTGGAGATCCCGGTTGGTTTCGTCACTGCCGACACTTCTCCTCACCTGCCAAGCTACAGTTCGCACAATCTCCCACAAATCAGTTTCCTCGACATTACCAGTCGAGGATATTGCGGAAACAAGTTCCGCAAACGAGTGTCCGAACAGAGGATAAAACAATTTTGAACGAAGTTGTAATTCGGCTGCTGATGGATCTTTTTCATCAATAACAAGACCAGTTCTACAGTCGAGGTCAATCGACAATCCATGTGTGGCAAGACGTGATGGTAGAACCCGAATACCGCCAAAATCTCTCACCGTGAAGCGATGAGGCCATCCCTTTCTCAGGATTACGATCAAATTCTGGGGATGTGGTTCTAACGCTATACCGTACCTAGACATTAGAATTATGAGGGGAGGAACAACTAACTCTGTAAGCGCCTTGAACCAAATGATGGGATCAACCCCTAAATCACTTATCAGATCCGTAATGACAGTATTTTTGGTGAGAGGTGATCGAGCAAAAAGCGATGCTACAGGTAGAGCAACTTCATCGCATGCTATCAAGTTCTCCACATCTTCTCGCAGAACAGCTGCCAGGCTGTTGCAGCTTTCTTTGAACGCGATTCCGGCAAGAATCCGGTGAGGCAAGAAGAGCTTACGGCCAAAAGCATCTGTCCTCTGCAACTCAAGGTTGCCGTCAACAATACTTGCAAGCAACTTTGATAACCGGGGAGCATTACGCGCAGATGTCGAGGAAACTCCTCTGATGGCGCTTGTGAGCTGAACTGTCAACGCTGTCTTGACATGCAGTCCCTCTTTCTTATTGGCGTTTTTAACCACGAGTGTGCGGTAATTCATCAATGGACGAGCTGTGCAGGACACTTTCAATGGAACCACGATTTGTTTCTCGATAGAACTTGCGTGTAAATTCGGTATGGCATGTGATGCTTGATGAGGATGCACAGGAATTAGGACGTAGTCACTGGGCTGCAGTCCTCGGTCCCGTATTTCTTTCAGCACTGCTGCCTCTGTGGCTGCGTCTAGGCAATAAGTTTTGATGATATCTTGAAATGCATTGATTCGATCGTTTTTCAGCATCGCATCTCCTTCAGAGATCCCGACCTCAACATCCACAAAATTTGTGCGCACAGCAACGAACCGCATCCCCAGATGGGTGACAAATTCTGGGCCACACTCAGCAGCTTCGTCATGTGTCATTCCCAATCGCACCTTTGC